ATGTTTCTATTTCTGTGAAAAATTTCAGGCAATAACAACACATTTTGTCGTGACCACTTCTGTATCTACCCAAGTTTGTATAGAATTCTACAATTAAAAGATGTTTTCAGTATTTCAAACCATCTGAACTGTTGTATGAATCCTCATGAGAACGAGTGGGTTTTCTAAAAGATTATGATGTTTGGTTGATATAGTGATATATAGTGAATGTATTTGGTTTATAGACCATATATATATAGCAAACAAATATCCAAGGATGCAATGGCTTTCTAAAGAAAAAAAGCAAACAAACGCCCCTCGGTAACAGATGAACAGACAGTGCCCACTGCTTATTTTCCCATGCCCTCAGTATGAGCTGGAAAGAATTCAGATACACAGGAGTCAAAACTCACACAACTTATGAAACACGCAGCTTGCTTCCCCCCCAGGAACATGACTAATTCCTGGTTTCGTGTAGACAAAAATCTGAAAGAACACGGACAAGGGTGATACCTAAAGCAGCAGAGAGGGTTACTGGGGTTCTCGCTGAGCCATAGTGTTACACTCGAAGGGCTTCGCTGACGGACTGCTGGGGGTTTGCGAGGCCAGCGTGAAGTTTCCCTGCAAGAACAGGCCACAGGGCTTCAGGGATCTGTCGCGAGCGCGTGGGGTGGCAGGAGCTGAGGACAAGAGCTGTGGGGAAAGTCTTTTGCAGCCCTCTTGGAAGCTCCGCCAAGCAGGGAAGGGCAAGTTACGTTTCTTCACAAGTCTTATGAGGAGCAGCTGAGGGAGCTGGGGCTGTTTAGTCTGGAGAAGAGGAGGCTGAGGGGAGACCTTATTGCGCTCTACAACAACCTGAAAGGAGGTTGTAGTGAGGCAGGTGTTGGTCTCTTCTCCCAAGTAACCAGCAATAGGACGAGAGGCAATGGCCTCAGGTTGCATCAGGGAAGGTTTAGATTGGATATCAGGAAAAATTTCTTTACTGTAAGAGTGGTCAGGCATTGGAACAGGCTGCCCAGGAAGGTGGTGGAGTCCCCATCCCTGGAGGTGTTAAAAAACATGTAGATGTGGCACTTCGGGACATGGTTTAGCAGGCATGGTGCTGTTGGGTTGACAGTTGGACTTGATGATCTTAAGAGGTCTTTTCCAACCGTAATGATTCTATGATTCTGCGATTCTTCCTGGCTTGCCCAGGGAGAAACCCAAAGTGGCAGTTTCTTTCCTGTGGCAAACCAGCCTCCTCACCTGCATGTGAGCTGAGGTGAATTCAGCAAGATGGGAGATGCGGGAGCTGGTGGAGGTGACTGTTCTTTTCAACTTGCCATGCCCCAGCTGAGGGCTCGCCCCGAGGGCCAGGCGGGGCACGCGCAGTGCTCCCCTCCATCGCTTCACGTTGCCAGCACTGCTGGGCTGGAGGGAGCGCAGGGAGCCTCAGCGGCATTTTCCACCCTTCCCAGGCTTCCGGACAGGTTGGTTGGTTTGGGCTTTGACAGCACTGAAAGAACCACATACCCCTTTCCCATCTCTCATCCTAGTCGTGCCGGTGCGTGGAAGCTGCCAAGGCCTCCTGGTGCAGCAGCATAACAGCTCCATGCAGAGCTCTCCCCGTGAGAAGGCATTAGGAGATCTTTAAGATTCTGAGGTGACACGAGGGTAGGAAGCAATATCAAAACTGGACACTGTCACTGATAGTGTGGGGGCCTGAAGTGGGAACTAGAAGGACTGGGACAGGAGTGGCTGTCACCAGCACAGCCCAGCAGGCGATAGGTCCAACTCTCCTTCAGCAGAGACCAACCTGGCAGTGACCCATCTGCCCAGCCCCGCCAGCCAAAAGCTCTGTGGGAAACACACTGATTTACACTCACCTCCCCTGTGGGCCTGTCCTCTGTCCTGAGTTGTCTCCACACCAAGAAGGGTTTCCTGGTAAAGCAAACAACTCTCCCTATCAATTTGGACAATTACGGAGTAGGTTGTAGTGATTTCACCTGTCAGGGCTTCAGGAGGACTCACAGGCTGTTGTGGTCCTGAGCAGCCTCACCTGGGACCCCCACCCACGGCCACTGCCCTTCAGCTCAGCCCAGGGTGGCCGGTCTCTGCCCCAGCGATGGAGCAGGAGTGCTGGCTTCTGGCCCAGCAGCAGCCCTGCCTGCCCTCGCTCGTGGGCCCTGCTAATCCCGACGCTGACCCATGGGTTGACTTCAGACGTGCCTGTTGATCACAAACAGGTTGGTGATCCGGGCTTGGTTGCCACCGGCTCTCCCCCTGCCCCACTCCCTGGCTGGGGACAGAGGGACCATCCCTGGATGGTGGGGCCCTGCCAGCCTGGGGACCCCCCACCAGATCCCTGTCCCTCAGGGAGCAATCAACCCTTTCTCTGCCCTGACATCATCTGAAAAAAAAAAACAAAAACAAAACTACTATGAATTTTTGTGGCTTGAAGAAGGTCTGAGATACTCAAATTTCACGTAGCGCGATACGTTTACACCCCATATGTCGAGCGCTTTCCTATACAATTCCATCTGCATGTAGTACTTGCAAGACATGTCTGTCGGTGAAAGCCAGATGAGTAAGGAAATAACACAAAAAACAACCCAAAGATGATGTAACCATGAAGAAGTTACAAGCTATTTGTGATTCCAGAGAAATTAACTCAGACAAGAAGTATCTGAGTACCTGCTATTACTGGAAAGGCGGCACAGCGGGCATCGCAGGAAGGCGGGTACAGAAATGACGGCGCCCCAGAGGTCACCCCGTTCCTTATTAATTCCAGTCTTTTCTGAGTAACTGGCTTTGCAAAGCCGTGAACCAAGGCCGAGCTGGAGGAGG